ACGCGTACCGGTTCGGTGTTGCAGGTTGAGCGGCTGACTGCGGGTCAATTCCACTACCTTAAATCACAATGGCGACGACAAATTTAATCATTTACTTTTTTTTTTTTTTTTAATTACATAATGTATCCTCAAAAGTGCGATCGTTACGTACGTCGGAAGGCGCGAGTCAGCGAATGACGTACGTACGTGCACGGACTTCGAAATTCACGCCTGTACCGCGCGCTGTTCCTTCATGTTCGTATCCTAAATTTGAAGAAACGAAAAATAAAAATATTCCTCGTGGAAAGTAAGATTCGCCGATGCCAGCACATACTTGAAATTTCCTGATGCGCAGCGTTTCGCAGTCAGCTTGATATTTGAAATGTGTGTGCCGACGCGTTTCTTGAGACGGCGATAGTTTGACGAAAAAACACTTTATTCTTCCAGACAGAGATTATTACTGAGGAATATCAGTTAGAAATGAATAAATGAAATGTACGAAACAAGTCTGGAATGTAAAAACGAATTGTCTCGTTTCAAACCGTAAAACGTGTGTTTTAATGTAGCAAGCAAATTCTTTGATTGTGAATTACGAGATTCTTTCGATTGAGCGAATGCTTCGAGCCACGAGGAACATCGTTCATCGTCGAGAAGCGCATCGACGGCCGTTTTTCAATTTAATTAATCTAAAGTTATAGTCAACGATCTTTGGGACGGTGTTAAGAATCGGAGTCGTGCTGCGCTTCTCGGTCGAATTGGGTTTCACGCCTATTATGCTTACGATGCATGGAAAAAAACGATCAGTCGCGTCGACGAAGCCAGCGTCTCGTGCCCATCGTGTTTAAAAGTCGTTGTATGTACGTGGTCGCTTAAAATCCGCGAACTCCTAGCAAAATTCTACGTAACTTCGTTGTCTTTTCTGTAGGCCCTTTACGAGAGCTTCTGAATCTTTTCCGTACTTAAATTTACATTAATTATGTATCGTAACTATAAAATCAAACATGAAATTTATACTAAAACCAGTATACGATTTGTGATGAGAACGTGTGCACGAATAACTAACTTTATCTATTAACTGCAATGTAGAAACATGGATAGATAAATCAAATTCAATGCTGATAAAATACAGAGGGAATGCAATTACTATTTGATAAACAGAATGAGAGATGTTTGTGAAAAACAGGGAATGAAAATGTGTAGATGTAAAATTACGTAACGATTAAAATACGTACATTTACTATGACTTCTGTGGCTAATGAGATATTAACGTGATTGCAAAATACGTTACATAGTAGAATGTGAATGTCAAAGTTGAAACGAGAGAAGCTGCAGACTTATAGATTTAATGAATAAATGAGCTGTGAACGAGCTGACCAGAACGAAGGCACCGTCGAACCACGAATTCCTGTCCGGCTCGTTCACGTTTCGTCGATAGCATAAAAAATAGAATCATAAGTGTAACTATTAATTTAAATACCTGTAAATAAAAAGAAAATGTCTTAGGTTCAGGTCAGAGACATTAAATGAGTACAGTATATCCAATTAATGTCGACTTAGGTTCAGAGATACTAAATGAGTACACTATGTCCATTTATTAAACGTTTCATTAGATCTGACTAAGGGGTATCTTGAGTTCGTCAAGTTGATAATTGACCCGAGAACGTTTCGCGTGGACGTGCTGATTGAGCTTGTGCCAATTCGACGGTAATAAAAGTCGCGCTGACACTTGCGAACGAATTCTTGATTGAAACATTTCCAACGTGTTCAAAGGACAGAAATATCTCATTGAAAATATGTATATCTCGTTTTCCTCGAATAACTTGGTATTCTTGCGAACCCGGGCACGAGATCGCTTGCGAGAATCGAGGACGCACCGTGCACGCACGTGATTTCATCGCGACTGCATCTGTCAAGAGAAACGATCGGTGGAATATATACTTATATTATATATTATAGGTACAACCGGAACACAGAGAGACAATTGTTAAACAACGCAGTTGATCCGCGACTGACGAGTTTTATTCATAAATAAAAAGAGATATCTATTAATTGAATGAGTCTCTTACTTGTGTCGTGCTTCGTTCAGATTTAATTTCTTATATTAACCATATATCCGTGAATATTGTTGTTAAGAACGAAATATCAATACGAACACGTGGCATCGAGATTTTGCTATGATTTTAAAAGGCTAGAAAAATTCTCAATATGAGAAATCACGTAAATGAACGACGGATCGTCAGTCGGGGATCAATAAAAGCGATCCACTCTCTTCTCGCTTCCTGGAGAGAGGAACGAAAAGAAAATAACATGTTTGGTTTCGAGGACTAGGAACACGCGACAGAGAGCAGAAGGCCGAGTAGAGACGGTAAATATAGAGTGAAATAGATAGATCCGAAGAGAAAATCTTTAGGCACACCCACACACGTACACATACATTTATATATAATATATATATGCGTAGAGCGCAAAAGTCTTTTTTTGTGTTTCATTTATATTTCGTTAAGCAAATCGTAAATCCGAACGTTAGATTTGCCGTGTGTACTGACTATCGAACGCAAACGCAGGCAAAGGTGACACGACGATCCTTCCCGGTTCGCAACCCCGACGATTGTGGTTCTCTTTGCATCCGAGGAAACGGAGCATTCGGTTACGTTTAATTTACACCGTTCCGCGTTATTCTCATTTTTTTTTTTTTTATCGTCGCGTGATCGGTCCCTCTTTTGTTCATCTTCCTTTTTTCGTTTCCGCCGTTTCATCGTCAATCAAAAAATAAGTTATTTGAGTACTTTGTACTTGTTCAAGTCGATCGAGATGGTAGACGCTCAATAAGCTCTCGGCACCGATACATCCGATTGTTACGTAAAAAGAAAGGAAATCCGATCTCGTCGATCACCTTGTCGCTGCACACGCCATTGAAATTCACACGGACATAGACGGACACCTTGTTAAAATTGCTCCTTTCCCCCCCCCGTACGATTCGCGCTTCGTCAATTGTATATAATTAGAATATGTAATAATTACATCGTAATTCAATATAGCAAATATATTATCACATTTAGATTGTATTAATGTTTANTATTATTATTCATCCGACGAATCCGAACAAAGGAACAGTGACGTGAAATGAGAATACGCGATCGAGCGTTAGTCGAGCCTCCGCGACCCTCGGTCTCTCGATTATTCTTCGTGTAATCCCTTAAAACGCTAGCCTCGCGTCCTTATCACTCTTCCCGTTGATCGTTAGCATTTTGGCACGCATTCTTTTTGTTTCCTCGTTATTGGCACGACGTTTCACGACTGTTTCCATATACGTTGCGATTCATCCAAACGGAGATCCCCGTATAGAATATTTGCGCTCTTTTTTTCACTTCCTTTCACCCTTTCCTTCTCAAGTTACTTCGTGTTCACCGATAAATTTTTAAACAATCATATCAATGTTCGCCTGATGTATATTTCACATAAATAATCACGTATGAACATCTTAGATACCAAACGATTTTCTGCAATTTCAAGAACGTCGGTTTATATTTACGATGAGAAAGAAAGGGTCGTCAGAGCTGAACTGAATAAAAAATTTACGATAAATTGCAACGTGTATGGGCCGTATTTTATGTATAAACAATGAGCATTTGCTAGAATTAACTAATCGATTAGAATAAACCTCGGACGCACCTGAGATCGATCGTTCTGACGATACAACGTACAATAATAATTAAAAGTACATCGCTGACCGTAGGTAGATGTGCATCATGCACCACCGCGTACTTAAATGCAAAACATTCTTAATCAGATTGCAGATTCGATGCGTGTCTAAATATCGTCTATAAAAAGAAGTTAAACTTAAATCGGGTTCGTTAAAACTTGACCACGTAAATATTGGTATCTCGCATGGAAGTCTGCAATCTGCTAATAATTAATTGCTTTAATATTCGGAGAATGTCGTACGTTCGTTCGTGAAAGGCAATTCATTTCATAATTATACAGTATTAACAACAATTGATAGCCAAATCGTTACGAGTAGCACATTTATCTAGTTTTAAACATTTTAAATCCTCTTCGATTCTATTGAATAGATTCAGAAACGAGTGTCTCACTTAAGAAGCTAATTTAATCGTTCCTCTTCTTAAAACAGAAACTGGACTTATCATTTATATTATTATTCTATTAATAAGTTTGTATCTCGATCGTCGTTATTATTTCCAGAGTCCTCTCGCCGTTTCGAAATGCTACTTCGAAATTCTACGTCCGAGACGTTTCGTGGACGAGATGCGAATAAATGAACGGTGCGTTCCAGCAACGCCTTGAAAGCTACCAAAGGATTTTAAACGCGGCCGTAGAATTTTTCATCGACTCGTTGAATGGCGCAATCAATTATGAGCGGTTATCAAAAATAGAATTATATCAATATAAAATATAATACGCAACGTACCGATCCGACGATCAACATTGTTGCCGTTTCGCGATCTCCGTTTAGGAATCGCTGTCGCGAACACCACCGAATATCTACTAAAAATACATACGTACATACGTACAGAAATACATGGGGCATGAATCATGCGTAATACCCCCTCGCCTATGCAAGAAAATTTACCTAACAGAAAGAAAAAGACGACCATCCTTACTCACTTTTTACTTTCCCCTCAATCTTTCTATACGCAGGAAGATTCGTCATAGTGCGCGCATAATAACGTGAAAAAATCATGCGTTATTATGTAAAATGCGTATCGCGAAATCACAGTTAGAATAAATGTTTTATAAATATAAAATATCGTTTTAAATACAATAGATAAATACATATATCAAAACGCAAGAAGATATTGTATACCGTTTACTATACATACATAAGGTACAAGGGAGTTTACTTGATAATTGAATTAACTATAAGATTTAGCTAAAATTTTACATGGGCTTTCGTTTGCATGTAAAAAGGTGTGTGTAAAAATTTCAAGGCTCTTCATTGTTTTATAACCGAGATATAGCGTTATAAAAATTTGCAAATTTTACACAGTCTTATGGGAAANCATAAGTATTTTTAAAATAATCATTCATCACTTCTGATACTCGCAATAAAAGAAAGTTAATAGAAAACGTTATAACTCGGTTATAAATCAATGAAGGCCCTTGAAATTTTTACACAAACCTTCTTATATGCAAACGAAAGCCTATGTAAAATTTTAGCTAAATCTTATCGTTAATTCAATTATCAAGTAAAATTCCTTAAAGGACTGGAGAAGATCGTTTTGGACGTCAACAAAAATTCGTCACAAGCTGTGACACTCTGGCAATTGAAGAAAGATTCCCAATTGATCAATTGGGAATTTGTTAGCGATTAAATAAATTCATTCTTACTACGTTTTATATCAACATTGATAAATAATAGTTTTGGTTGACGCGTTATTAGGCTTGTTCTATAGGAGCAATTCTGTGGGTTCTGTTAAATGACAATAAAATAATTAAATAATTAAATTAGAACAATCGAAACAGTTGTTCATTCTCTCAAGAATTATCAAAGTTTTCACGAATGGAAAATAACTAGTGCGTTCATATTCATTTTCTTTATCGATTATTCTTTCGTCTATCTATTCTTTTTCAACGCGAAATGCTGCTGTCTCGGACGCGAAAAAATCGTATTTAATAATCGCAGAAGAACATAGATCCTCTTCCCATGGCTCGCTATATTTCCCCTTAAAAACCGTTACCGACTAGAACGTAGTTATGATACATTAAAAATTGACACACATTTATACCATATATATTGGGCTTTGCGTTATCGCCATCCCCTCATCTCGTTTTCACCGCAGAAAATGTATGACACAATCGAATCTTTTTTCGTAGGGATGGGGACGGTCTCTGATCCTAAAGAGTGAAAAACCTGCGATCGATGATTCTATTTGGCGTCGATCTAAGAACGGAGCAGATCCGACGTTCTCCTCAAGAACGTCGGTGGACGTTGCTTATTATGGACGACGATCATTAGTAGCGTTTGCGTTTTGAAACTACCATTATACCTTCGGACTTAAGAGTTAGATACACGTGGAGACACATAAGAGTTTGCTTGCATATTTTATAGCTTCGTTGGAAAATCCTGCACTTCTGCGCTCGATGCACGCCTGTTACGATTCCTTAGCTATTTATTTAAAACGCGCGAAGAGAAAAATTGTTCGAACGACGTTGCCGCTGCCTGTGTCCATTTTCCTTCGTTCGTTCACGCAACTTTTTTTTTTTAAGCGAACGCACACGTATTGTAATATCGATCAGCGACAGAAGACGCTTATCGTTATCTGTCTATGAAATTCGATAAAAATTTCTCGCGACCAGCAGCCCTTCGTCGATCGATGAGCACATCACGCAGCATCTCTGCTTTCATCTATCTGATTTCGTATTAAGAATAGTACCACATTCGCATTTACAATTTAAATATTAATAATAGCGGTAGTAATAATAACAGTGTGTAGATAGTTAACAATTATAATTACGTAGCTGGACAATCATAATCGAAGTTGGAGCCAGAACATGGAAAAACGCGATAGTAAAATTATCTTTGCAAAATAGCACCTTTCCCAGCGGCTGGAGACCTCGCGTTACGCAGTCTATACAGTTAATTCAAATCAGGTATCATACAGAAACATCTCTGATAGATTTATCAGACAAAATTCCAGAATACTTATATCTATCATATTCTTCTTTTTAATTTTATACAACGATATCTGCAGGGCATATGCTAATGAAGACAGCTTCTACCTGTCGAAAGTGTAGACAAACCCGTAAACGATAGATATAGTTTATCTACGTGCTGTTTCTTTCTCCTAATGGGATTTCGACGACTTCAAAATCACTCGTTGCTAATCAATATTGTGCTGTGAGAAAGAAATGGCATATAGCTAAACATTTCTACCCTGTCGACATGTTCAACGTTCGGAAAGCTGTTTCCATTGCATATTCTAAGATATCTAACTGAAATATAAATATCTAACGCGAGAGTCCCTTGACCATCAGTGCAGGAGAACAGTCTTAATTAATTGCTAATTCCTTGCTAGCATCACGGCGTAAACTAACATAAAACGTCATACCGTGAAAGCTCCTTCTCTACTTTTCAGTCTTCCTCTATAAATCCAGTCTACAGTTTCTAGCACCAATGCGCAGCTTCGTGTATGGTCCCTCAACGTCCCGAAGGACGAAGAGGAGGCGATAATTAAATCGGCTAACGATAAGAATTTCACATTAGAATTCGAAGATTAAATTGAATTTATCGACGTTCGCATGCAATGCTCTACATACATAATTGTTATTGATTAAGGACAAAGTTTATCATGGTTAGCCAGAAGTTGGACTCCGTTATCGTAATTATGTACTTTCTTCGACGCACCTTCGCCACCGTTTCTATTATACTCGTATACTTCGTTTCGTAATCTATAATTAGAGAATCGTATATTACTTTGTAGTCGAGCTGTCTCCTCCCAAAAGAGCGTGGAAAACATTTTCGAATTTCAAGTTCGTTCTATTCGATAAATGATAATTCTACAACTTCTGACTGTGTACGTATATAGCTTCATCGTCACTGGTCTTGTCCATGACGTTTCGTCACGGACATTGTTTATCATCGACGCCAATCTTCAAAACGAATTAGCTTGGAATTTCTTAAAACAGAAAGAACAATCATTTTAATTGACAGCTCGAATAATGACAACGCGACGTGCGTTGACGATGTATACATAATATATGTATAATAAAATCTCCTCCCGCATAAATTCGCAGAACGCATTGACAAATTTCGGACGTGTAAAACGACGACGATGACGAACCCCTCGACTTCGAGTCTCTTCATTTCATCCTTCGTTGTTTCGCTAGTTCGTTGACTCTGAGTTAGAGGACGGCGAGGATTCCGGACTCTGCGTGTCCCTGTCGACGACCACCGTCGGCGTCAGCAGCATACCCCGCGGACTGAACGTGTCGCAGTACAGGTTCTCCTTCTTATGCACCCGTCTTACGTGGCTACGCAGGTTATCGCGTCTCGCGCTCCTGTACGCACAGTGCGGACAGAGGTGCGGCTTCTCGCCCGTGTGCATACGTCGATGCTGGATGAGCTAACAAAAGAGAGGGTCCATTCCTTATTCTCATATCAAGAAATAGCTGAATGTTATTAGTTTTATGAAACTTCGTTTTTCCAAAAGAGAAATATCTATTTTCTTTCGTGTCATCGTCTATGATATTAAAAGTTAAATCGAGAATGGTACGGCTTGGAATATATCAAGGAGGTTTATAATTAGATCACTAATATTTTGTTACACCTTTCATTAAAATGAATTAACATTTTTATAAGACAATGATAGCAGCTTGATAACGAAGCATTATCACTGGAATTTGAATATACACCCTCCCATCGATTCCGTTTACAATAGTGACTGCTTCTTAATTCACGGCATGATCCAAACGCAATAAATTGATTTACATCACGGCGAGAACAATACACCGCGGCTCTTCAACTAGACTTCAATACCTCTCTTTCACATTAAAACCCTCTATGCATCACCGTTGAATAAATTGCAGAATTGTGAATCCGTAGATTCATACATGAAACAATACTTTCGCATTGAACGAAACTTGTGATTCACGGACGGAAGTAGAATATCCACTCGTCCTACGAAAGATTCAAAGAACTGCGGGATATCGTAAAATTTACGATCGGCCGCCGGATTATACGGGCTTTCCATACCCGGTAAATTGGAAACAATTGAAATTCATTGATTCTGTACACCATTATTTTCAGGCGTGTTCGCGCGCGATATTTCCTGACTGTGGAAAAATTTTACCTTTTTCAATTGCACGGTGCGGAAGATGCAAATGTCGCAGCAGAAGTAGCGGTCGTCGCGATGCCTCCGCATGTGCCTGCTGAGATCGACCTCGGACGAGCGGTCCGCGCCGCACACGGCGCAGCTCACCCTCGTTTCCGGCGCCGTACCCTTCGCGTGTGCCCTCAGGTGCCTCTGGAACGCTTTCTCGATTGTGCAAGCGTACGAGCACAACGAGCATCGATACTCTTCCCTTTCGTATCTGCGCATAAAATTGTATCAATAAGTCGGAGCCACTTAATCTCTCGTTACCCGATCGCAAACTGTGACTGTCAGTCCAGTAAAATCGGCGTAAAAAGATTTTAGATTAATGAAGTTTATGTATTTATTGGAGATTCGAATAAAAAAGTGAAACACGAGATTTTGACTAAAAGCAATTTTTTTTAATCCTTCCTACATGAAACTAACATGCGTACAATAAGTGAAACAAGTGTTCTAAGTACCTATACCTGACGCGTTGCAATGCCAGGGACCGTTTCTTTCCCGTGGGCGTCATCCCTTGTGCCACGTGCGCCGCCACGTGAGTCTCCATGTCGCATCTGCTGTTTGTAGTAAAGTTGCAACCCGAGGACGGACAACTTTTCGTTTCCCCAGTTTCTGCACTGGCCACAGGTGGATGGCAATCGACGATATGCTTCCGCAACGCTGGCCTCGTGGGCGCGACCATGTCGCAGGAACCGCAAGAGTAACCGCGATACGCGTTGTTAACGTTTGGACTGCTACCGCGAGACCTGAAAAATAAATTATTTTAGCACATTAGAAAATGTCTATGTACACGTCGTCGTGAGAAGCTAAAAATTGGAACTAAAAAAACCTGGGTTCGTTTGATTCGATTTTAAAGAATTTATTCAATTTGAAATAGTTCTTGACTGCACATTAATTCCCATGCCCCAGAATTCCTTGACTGATCTTTCTTAGAATTAGACTAGCTCATGTGACTCTTCGAGTGCAAAAGTATTTAAATGTTCGATGAATAAGTGGAACAGAGTTAAGTAGATTCTGATGTAGAAAATGTAGAGGAAACGAGTTGATAAATGAAAGATCACATACTTTTCGGTGTAAGATGAATGCTCGCTCTCGGAGTCGCTGTCAGACGGCACATTTGAGGATTCTTTTGCTTCGAGGGCAGCAGTCGCCGCTGAGAGTCTGCCGAGCATCGCGGTGTAAGCCCCGAGGACCCAGCCATTTAATACCGGACTAACTGTACCCTCCTGTGTTACCAGAGAGAATCTCTTAATTTTCTTAATTCAGTAATTTTCAAAATAATAATGAACAACCATAAAATCGCCATTCTTAGAGACTCAACTCCTCATTGTTTTATTATATAAAATATTAATTATTATCTCTGGAGATGTTTTGTTCAATGCCAGCAGTACACTCTGAAATAACTCGGCAAGAACTCTTACCGATGCGAGTTTAGCTGCGTCTTGATTCGAGTCGTGAAATTATTATGTTTGTAACTGTTCACGAATTTGCGGCTCGCCCTCGCGCCTTGTAATAAAAAATCAATTCGAAACCGAGCGCTGACGATGTGAGACAAGGCGACACGACGCGAGGCGAACGATGTGAAATTGTATTGCTAGCATGAGAATAATTTCACAAAAATTGAAAAAGTTATACTTAAATATTATCTTTAAAACGAATGCGAGAAATGATTAAAACGTCAGCTTCATGTTCAACATCATTAAATATCGTTTCAATAAATATTTGAATGTTTATTTAAGTGGAACGTAATATCACGAAATTAATCTGGGATCTTAAGTGCAAAGAACATGCAGAATAAAGATGATTTTAAGCGATAAACGAGCGACTCCTTAACGGGCAATTAAACTTTATTATAAATCAAGAGAAATTAACACGTCTGTCTCTTCTCGAGTCTCGTCGTCAATTGCCTATCTTCATTGAAGATTGTCTATTTTTCTGGGATCCCAAATTAATATAGTTTTCTGCGATAATTGAACGAACCTTATCAAAAGTCAAATAGGCCATAGGGTCGAGTAGTTTCATCGGCAAGTTATTGTTGGCCGACCGATGGGAGCTATTGGTACTTCCGGTATCGCTTTCTTCCCCACCGTCCTCGTTCTCGTTATTCTCTTTCGAGATAGAAGTCTACGTGTAATCGTAAAAAAATAATTATCCTTTATTTGTAACTGAAATAAAAGGTGGAGATTTCGGATGGACGGAAACTTCGCTAATTTACTTCTGCGACTTTTCTGACTTTCTGTCAACTGGTCTAATAGTTTGTGTTCATTTAACTAGGAGATATAAAATTAAGTTTCGCGTCTTTGATGAAGCTGTCAGACAGTTGAGAAAATTCGAAACATGTTTCGTAAGAAGATATAGTTAGACAAGAAAACGATCAATGATGTTCTGTTATGATACATGCAAGTGTATAAAAAGCTTTGGACAAGTATACTTCAGATACAATGGTATAATGAATAGATATAATTTATTCTTAATAAGTTTAATAAATTAGTAGGTATTCGAAAAAGTACAAATCTTATACTAAAAACTAAACAAATTACCGATACAACGAAACGTCAGTCAATGGTCATTTGTCACGTGCAGCAGATAAGTATAAAATTCAAGAGCCATCATCGATTATAGAATTAATAGAATAAATGATTAAGATTTAATAAAGGAAGCTTTATCTAAAATTGAAACCTCGTTCCTGTGAAGTACCACATATTTAATTCAAATAATGTATCCCAAATGTATTGAAGATCGCATTAGGTCGACAGAGAAACAGATTTAAAAAATTGCAAAAAAATAACACATTTTATTCAATCGTACGTTTCATCAACTGTCGTATAATTTTCGAATGTATTATTTGAATATGTTTATAACAGGATACCTGGTTATCATTTTCATCGGAGCGTTCGATGTTCCCTTCGTTGTCGTCGCGTTTCTCCTCGTCTTCGTTCTCCTCGTTGTTCTCGGTATCCCCATCGGCGCCGTTCCGTTTGGTCACCAGCTCCATGGGACCGTACGGCGGCGATCCCACGGACGTCAACGGCAACGGTACCATGTCCGGCAGGTGGAGGCCGCTCAGGGTGAACCCGGCCCTCGGCAACAATTGCGTCGCGCTCGGCGGCAGAATCGGGTGCCTTCGGGCGAGGCGCGGGTCACCCCAGAGTTCGCCCGCAACGTGAAGACTCCAGATGCCATATTCCATCTGCAACCACGCGTCGGTGACTAGGTAGCGTAATGTACTGGGGTACACGCGGACCGAACTAAGGTGTGTGGATATCCACGGTCCGCGCGAGTATTCGGTTGGTCGCGGGACCGAAAACCCCGTGAATATTAATCGACGACCTGCCGGCGCGGCGACGTCGCGGATATAGACTATTTTCGAACTTTCCCCGATAAACGGTTAACGGATAGTTTAAAATAGAGAAGCCCAATACAACGAAAAGGACAGTATTCATTGTTTGTCCCCCACTTCTTAGCAAACCTAGTCGAATTTCGATCCCTGAAAAGTAGATGAAACTACGTGGCTGCCGTCATCGAAGTAAATCGGTCTTAAAGATACACATGTCAGGAATACAGGATGTCTTTTAGAAACCGGTTCGGAGGAGTCTAAACAGCGACTGATATTAAAAGGTGAGAAGTGCGCAGATACACCTAAACTAGGTACCCAGAGATTTTTTAATAGGAGCAACGCAACAGAAATAAATAAAGGACACTGCATAGAGGAAATACTAATAATAATTAGAGCCATCGAACAATGCGATCGTAATTATCGCGTACGGGTTAATACGTTTGCTTTCCCGCGCCATACCTTCGGTGCCATACTTAATAAATTAACGAAGATAATTGTTTTCATACAACACTCGCGCGGAGAGGGAACGAGGTAGGGGGAGAGGGATTACAACAGATTTTCGTAATGAGATGCGCGGATTCGTGCACGTATGTATGTGTAATTTCAGAAATATCGCTTGTCAAAATTGGAATTGAAATAAAAAGTAAAATCGCATTTAGCCCTCATACACGTTACCACCGCGAAATCATCGAAAATTATCCGATAAAAACGGACGAATGTACGGGTCGCTGCTGCTGAACCGTTTCTTCGATTCTGTTTATAATTAATTCACACACAGTGTTGAACCTGTTATTTAAACAAGAAATCTGTCTGCAATGGTATATTTTTAAACTGCAGACTGACTCAAACCTTCGCTGTTTACTTACTTCTTTAAATCAACGTAATTGTATAAATACAGCCTTTACTGTTTATAAGAATTATTAATGAATCGATGTTAAACAATTTTGAAAAAGGAGATGCGGTTTATCTAAAATTTTTACTTGACTCAACAAATGAGCTAACTCCTGTGGGGAGTTTGAACGACGCGATGTTTAATTACATCGAATTTTGTAAGGTTTAATAAATATAGCCGGCGATGAACGAGTTTAGAACTCATTATTTGCGAAAGTTCGGCTGACGCGCTCATTACAGGTACGCGAAACCGTCGGGGGAAATAGTAATCATTTTAATGACCTGGTCCGTTTAAAAATTTCCAAATGAACCGGACGACTTCCGATTGCGCCGCGCCGCACAGCACCGGTTCTCGACCTAGCCTCGACTGGTCGTTCATCCGGTATGGCAAGCGAATTCGTGTAAAAATAAACGCAACAAATGTGTCTGTTAATAAGTTCATCGATCGGTCGTCGTTGCGTACATGTGGCTATCGCAGAATGGAAATTTTATATGTAATATTACTTGGCTCGTTTCTCAATATCGGCGATACCCATAATTATAATGCGATAATAATTATACTAAACATTAATCCTTATCCCCTTATGTTTTTATTTTGATATAACGAAAGATATAATTAAAACACATGGAGCACTAAAAATTATTCATCGATTAAAAAAATATCTTGAAAATGTTCTACGGGGTACGTAATTATTAGTTAAATAAATTATTGATTCGGCGTGTACACGTTTTACGCTGGTTCGAAACAGGCGTAAGAAAATGAAGGAATATATTATTCGTCCCTGTCATTTGCGGTATTCTGCATATTATCTCATAAATCAAATAGTAATAATGGTAACAAATATTCTATTCAAGCATCATCCAGCTTCCATCCACGGTCAATGCTTTCAGATTAATTTTCCATCCAGATTACATACGTTCATATAAATTTGGGTCTTGGCAAAGCGAAAAAAATTTTAGTACCACCAAATTGGAGAGCTGTGTAATTTGTTAACGATCTTAAGTCCACCCCTGTGCAACGAGGGTGAAGCTTTTCATGGTTACGTGAAGATGTGAAATATTTATTTTCAACGTAGTGTAACGAGGTGTAAAACAATAATTTCAGATAATGGAAACTTATTACAGAAAATATCAAAAAGACAAATAACACACACGTGTAATGCAGTAAATAAGTTTAAATACAGCTTTATTGTTGAACGAGAAATTGCTGGTTGAAAATGAACAAAATATTTGTGCGACTCGGTATTATGACGCGGTTAATAATTTCAAGCGACGAATATGCATTTGCTAAATCATGAAAATTGCTGCGGTATCTAAAAAGGCCAGAAATAATGTTTTATGTACAGCTGATACAGAGATCATTAAAGATCGTGCAAAAGGGTTAAAATAAAACCTATTATATGATATTTATCATTCAATTTATTCGTCGTATTTGAAAAAAAATATAAGTACAGTCGATGATACAAAAAAAGTGTAATGGTCCTTCCCTTGGTGTTCATTATTCATATTAAACGGAATTAACGTGAGTACAAATATTACGATAATTACACTAATGAAGAAAAACTTATGCGCAGATGCAAAACGTAATTCCTCACATATCGTAGCATGAAAAATAAATGATTGAAGCATGTCCGGTGTGCTGATAGCAGTATTCGGTTAATTCGAAAGCGAGCAAACAAACAGATGAAGCCAAGAGAGAACAGAAAAAATATTGGAATGCTTTTTGAGCGTGTTGGTGTTGGTAATGTGAAACGTGGACGAAACGAAAGAAGAGTGATAAAAGATTCGTTCTTACGGATGCCCGTCCGGTGGCCTACCGCAATTTAGGCCGGTCGTCATTACGGTAAATCATCCCCCAGTCCCGACGGTCACGGTATCACCCCGGTTTCTATCTACGATCCCGAGAAGGCACAGCCGATTCTTGGCAGATCCGCCGGTCCCGACCGGAAGTTACGCAGTACCGGCGCGGCGGTGCGAGTTAAAACCGTGCACGCGGTACTCTCTCTCTCGCGAGCCGCACCGGGGGCACGGAGAGAAATACGTCCGGATACGTGCTGCCGCAGAACGAACTCGCGAGATTCCTGACCATTGGACCGACCCTCGTGTATGCATACTTTAGCATAACGTACTCTATACAATATCCAGAAAGAGGGACGGGGCGGAACGAGGGAAAGAGAGCGGCGGGATCTGCTCGGGAGTCCGGAGGACGAGAAGGGAGAGTCCAAGGGGAAACAGAGAGAAAGAGATGCATACGCGTAGAGCAGAGGTAGAGTACCAGCCACCGTCCCTCTCCGTTGCCTCTCTTCTCTCTTCTTCGTCGTCCTACCTCTCGCTGACCCCTTCCCATTGCCCTCGCGAATCGATTTGTTATTGTTTTTGTGTCTGCGGTCGTCGCGGCGAGCGAAGCGAGCGGGGTGCCATATCGGTGGGTGGGTACGGGTGTGGGTGGTGGTAGCCAGGAGCGGCGCGGAGGTCCAAAGCAACGCTGACGGTGGCGCGGGGGTTTGGCCTGAAGGGGACGAGAAGGGTACCGGTCGCGCTCTCGCTGGCTTCAAAGGTTCGCTTTTCGGCCCGACAGAGAGGCTACCGGGAAGCAGGAAGGGCGAACCGCGCGCGGGGCTGCCTGCTGCCTGGACAGGGGTGGAAGGGAAACAACCGGAAAGAGAGCACTTTCGATGCTCGAAAGAGATAGACGAATAGATAGACACCGCTGACCAATGGTGTAGCCCCGGTACGCGTCGTTTTCCATCCCTCCGCGAATGATTCTTTCGTGTACGTAGCGAGGAACGTACGTACAGTCTTCCTGGCTAGCACTTTTATACGAAATAAATACCTTGCGCCGTTCCGCGATCTCTTTGTTCTTTCAGATGGCAATTTCTCCCGGTTCTAGGGGTGCATACGTACATCGCTCGCGCTCGTTTCGAGCGACATTATCCGTCCCGAGAATGTTTACGTTCTTCGACGGAAGAGATATATTCCTCATCCGCGTCCAATGATGATGGATCCTGTTGGTTACAGAGGCTACGCCAGTGGTTCCATCACCGAAAAGAGTGAGAGAAAATCAGCGGGCAAGGATGGAAGCTGACACGGACGAGGAAGAGGGAGAAAGAGGGAAAAATGAAGAGAGGGTAGCGGAGAAATATAGGGAGAGAAGGTGGGCGAACGGAAGAAAGGACAGGACGAGAGGGAGGAACCGCGAGGGTTAAGCAGGGAGGAGGTTAGTCGCTGGTACTCGCGGAACAGAGGGAGACAGTAGGGGGTGGGAAATGGATCGGATTGCGTGGTCGGCACGAGGCTGAGGCTGCTGGTATGAGTGGTACGGGACGAAAGAGAGAGCAAAAGTAAGAGGGCAAGGGACAGAGATGCGGTTTCTGGGGTAGCGGTGTGTACGTGCGCGTGGGCGGAAGAGAGAAGGAACGTGGGCGCGAGAAAGGACACGATTACTCATGATGCGGCGGAGATGAGCGCGGAGGAGAGCGAGACAGCCGTGGTAAGACAAGACGAGTGGTACGTTGTTGGGTTGACAGGTGACAACCGATCGAACCGCTGACGTCACAGATCACTCGCTCGATCGTACGCTCACACGCGCCAACGAGATTTACTCCACCACGGCACATAGTACACACGTATAGGAAAGAGAGAGCGCGCGCGCACACGACGTGTCGTGCATCACGCCGTGTTACTTCCGTTCCGTGCACCAGAGTACGTCATACGTAAGCTTTCCACGCCGCGAGAAAAAAAGTACTGCGCGCGAGAGGGGAAGAGAGAGAAAGAGAGGAAAAAAAAAAAAGAGAGGGAGGAACGGGCAGCCACGGAGAGGGACGGAGGCGGACGGTGGAGGAAAAAAAAATAGCGGTGCACCAAAGATAGGAGTGAAAAAAAAAAACACGAACGAGAGAAAAAAGTAGGTGGCCGAGGGAGGCGAAATTTTTCGGCGGAAGTAAGTAGTAAGTATTCACGATGCTAACCGGCCGATAGCCTCGCACGACGCCTCTATCTGGTTACCATTACACTCGGATGTATGAAATGCGCCAGCAGCATACACCATCCCCCCACAATAGCCCTATTTATGATTGGGCAAAATTGCTTTCCATGCGCAGAATAAAATCGCGCGCGGGCAAGGAAAAATCCGCGGGGGTTGGATGCACGCGAGTTACGCGACCTGCGCCGCGGTGCCTCCCTCATGGTGCACCGACGACCATCGAACGAGCATCGCGCGATCCGAGTCCCATGAATCGTTCGCCTGTCAGCGAACGACCTTCTTTCCCTCGATTTTCTTTCCAACATCAGCTCACAAAATTTGGGAAAAATTAAATATGGCGAGAGCTCGCGGTCATGCGTACACACGCGCCCTTACGACTCCGGTTCGCAGCTCGCCAATGAGCGCGCGCGACGATGATGTCAAGCAAATCCCGTTGCCAGCGCTGTCTCTGTTCCGTGCATCACATCTCGTGAATATTTCCAAGATTATTTGCCGTTATATCAACGAGAAGTAATTATTCTTCGATTTCTGTTGCTGAATTCCTTTTTCTGCTCGATTTGGTTCGACGTAATCACACAACAGTGGTGTAACGATAATTTGCACTAATTGTGAAGCACCTATTAATTTTAAAAATATGGCGACGTCTGCTTAAATTATCATATACGCACTCGTAATCCTTCAAAAGAGAAAATTTCGTCTGTGACAATTCAATCCATGTATCACAAATTCGTACATCGATGTTCTATATGAAAATCTCATTGAAACAGATAATAGATTTCCAGTGCACCTTTTATTATTTACATTCTTTACAAATAATAGATACAAAAATATAAATTCTTAGCCTAGTTCTCAGTTATCATCATTTGATGAACGATAAAACAAATCTCAATTTATGTGTCATTTTCTAAACTGACATCACAGTTTTATACTGTGTAAGAATCTGTAGTCCATAAATAATGGCGATGATATTTGTGGCAGAACAAGTTCGTATCTATCAATTGTGATCTTCCATTAAAGCTAAGGAGGCACCCTTTAACACTAGAAATTGCAAATTAGGTATTTCTTTCTCCAACCTACATAAATATAGAGAAATTATATTAGTAATAGAAGTATATATGAATACTAAAGGGTAAAGGACTCATAATTTATACCTCTGATGATGTTCCTTTATATCGTCAAAAATATGAATGAATTCTTTCACGCCCTTGCTAACATTCTCATACGACTCCTTCCTTAGTCCAATGATATCTATAATAGATTTTAATGTCTCCGAACACGATTCCATCGTCTCTCTCATGTTAGACCATTCTTCAGTTGTTTCAGGTAAGACCATATTACTTACGCGGAGTACATCAAAAGGCTTTATGTGACTATATAATTGGGATAGAGTACTCTCTAATGGTTGAATATCTTCCTTTACTGCAATTAAAATAACGATTCATTATTGTAAAACACATGTCCTCCGTTGCATAATAATTCATTTAAACAGTGTCTATGCAGTTCTTACGAGTGCAATTATTAGTATCGGCAATTTGTGAATCAATAGCAGTCTGTATTTTAGTCAAATTCATTATGTCCCTTTCTCGGATTTTCAGTTTGAACAGCTTTTCTTTCAAGTCATTGCATTCCTTGGCTATCGTAGCTAACTGGATAAAAAATAAATGCATCTTCTCTTGTTGTCTTCTTTTTAAAATTTCCTTCGTTAGAAGGTTTTGCATATACTGATCATAAAGAAGCTTAAGTTCTGTATCATTGCCTTCTGACCCTGTTGTACATGCCCCATCCATTGATCCATGTGTAGAAAACACGGATGTACGATCCAATCCGAGTCTTCTTTTTACAGTAGCTGTATCACGAAACCACTTGACATTGTAATCACTGATCTGCATAGAACATTGTATAAAGGATATGTACTTCCAGTATCCAGTGTTCTATGAAGGTTAATGATTTTAATTTGCATGATGCATTGGTATAGAAGAAAACTTACATTGTGGTAAAGCAAAATCACAAGGAGCCATCGTTGATCTCTGACGTCTGCCTGCATGAGCATTTGTTGTGCTATCTACGACTTTCCTCTCTGTGTCTGGTGTGAGAGGAAAGCGTGGCTTACTATATATAATGCATACAAAATACAAATCTTAGTTACATCTTTCAAATCATCTTAGTCTCGACATGCATATGAAAACAACATAAATATTATGTCCAAGTTTTTTCTCATTTTATATATCTCAGTTTTAATTTATGAAATATACTAATGTATTTCGCGTTAGCTCTTGATATAAAAATAATGTAGACCTCTAAATAAGTACTTTGGATCTCACCGTTTTGGTGTTTTGGGTTTGCTTCTTTCCATTTCTTGCAACTGCTTATATTAACCCCTCAAGTAAAAGTTGGAAGTATAATTTGATAAAACAGTCCACAGTTCACTGCATCGAAAAATTAATGCACGTGTCCTTTGGCTGTGATGCTTGGATTTCAGACTTGTAAACAGTTGGTTAGTTGTTGGTTAGTTCTTGTCCTCGCGTCAGTTGGTCAGTTTGAAGGTTTGAATGTTTGAAACCCGATTACCAATTCCAGTGTACCAGTTCCAGTGTGCCAGCCGTGCTGCATTTTTCGAACGTCCTCGGCATTTCTCATTGCTTTAAATTAATTATGTATGTAATGTGTAAATATATGTGCATAAGACAAAGTCGAATTCGATTTTATAGATAACAATTCAATTTTTTGTCACACTTGTTTTTACGTAAGCGACAACCACACATGAAATTTGGTGTGAGAAAAGAAATCCGTCATGCTTGTACAGCGATTATTCTATTGATCACGATTGCTGTTGATTACACTGTATGTTTTGTCTAAGGCTACTCTTTATCTTTATCCTTCGTCACTATCGTCTTACCCGCGACACCTCTGATAACAACAAAAAGTTAGAATTTTACATCACCAAATAGGCTAGCTGCTAATGATTGTAGTGCTTAGTTTATTAGTACAGTGACAGTGATATACATTATGGACAAGGTATTTAATTTTCCTTTCCCTTATTTAAATTCTATTTGTATGATTATTGTGTTTAATGCTGACTGGTACGTTTTAAAGTTAACCTTCTATTTCTTTTTATCAAATAAATTATTATTCCTGGTCGTAGAAAATTGAATAGCTAGAAATAAGATTAAACTTGATTTTATTCAAATATGTTTTTCAGAGTGAAAAGAGAGAAATTCCACCAATGTTAAGAACAATATTAAACCTTGACAAACTGTTGACACAAAGTTTTGTCAAGTATGTAGAGTACATAATGCCAATGAAACGATTAAAAGTACATCACACGGCATTGGAGGTACGTAAGCAAAAAAGAGACAAATATGTTACTATTTATTGCACTTGTGTAACATTTATTATATACATTCTTCATCAATCGTAAAATGTTATAATTCGTCATTTATAGGTATCATGCCATGGGATAGTTTGGCTAGCATCGTTGCTAGCACTTATTTGGATTCTAAACAATGCCAGATTGTTTCAAATGCAAGTCAATTTGATCATAGGTAAGCCTCTTTCCATTTACATGACTTTCAATTCACTCTATTTTTCAAATTGTATGATTTTACATAAACTGTTTCTATCGTTTCCAGCTCTTACACTAGATATCATTATTATCGGTGTACTAAAAGCATTCACAAGACGAAGAAGACCAGCAGAAGACCTTAGAACCTTTGGTCCTGACAAATATTCGTTCCCGTCAGGTCATGTTTCTCGCGCGATGCTCATTTTTTACTTCTTCAAGTACCTGTGGCCAATCTCTGATATCTATGTTACACTATTGTTGCTATGGGTCGCCACTCTATTTTTCTCCCGAGTCTTAATGAGGAAACATTATCTTCTCGACGTTACTGCAGGATTATTTATAGGCTACGCGGAAGGACTGTTCATGAGTCTTATCTACTTAGATGCCAAGACCTGTGCGAGTTTTGTTTCCTGGATAACTGACGAGAAGATGGAAGGCGCCGAGTATGACGTTTAAAAATTAATTTATTTTTTACATATGCGACGTGTTGAATGAAACTAAGATACTTAGTTGTTTTATCTTATTTCGTATGAACTAAATTTTTACTATAACTCGACTTTGAATTAAATCGTACGCTATGATACCAAAAAGGGAGGTGTAGAACGTTCTTATCGTTGTGATGTTCATGTTGAGACTGACAACGGAAATATTGACGCGTACAATTATTTTTGTGGGAATACTAATGGAGTAAGGGAAGTTACAAGTATATGATTTTAAGGAGAACTGTGAAGGGAATGATCACATTAAATAATACAATTATGCTAAAATAAATTGTAATATTTTATATACTTAGGTCTGTATGATTTATTCTTTTATCAATAGTGATGATTCCACTGCTGTCTGATTTCACTGTGGTGTTCGATGAAACACTTTGATTCGATGATGAAGAAGACAAAAGTCTTTTAGCACAACTAATAAATATATTTTGTACGAAAGGTTCTTGTTCCATTAAAGTGTTGTACATTTCAGATTAAAAAGAAAATAATGAGCCTCTCTAGAGCCTGATATATATAAAAAAAAGGAACAATTATTCATTGTACATAGATATAAATCACGTATAGGTACATTCGTGGTATATTAAAAACGTCTTGTATAAAATTACAAGCCAGCTGGTATATGTATATGCGTTCTATATATTTAATATCGTTCTGTTGTTGTTCTATGAGTTTTCTAATAATTTAATGTAACCGTCTCAATTGTTCGATTTACTAAATGTCTCGATTGATGTTAACATAAATCTGTCTATGTTTTCATACGAAGTTCAAAGTAGATAAATTCCTGCTTCTTGAATGGAAAATATCCAGTATTACCGTATCTATTCTTTGAAACTTGTGTAGATCCTCCTAAATTTTCGTAGAACATAAATTTAAATTACTATTCCTTTTCGTCCCGTGTAAATTCATAAATTAACAATAGTCAACGATAATTTACTAACTGTTTCGATAGAAATAAATAAAAAATATTATATCGTAACAATCTTCAGTACGCTACTTTCGTAAAATTCTATTATCAATGTTTTTTTCACTCTTACACTTTTTCCAATGTTACCGTCGTTTAATTATTACACCTTTCGGATGATACTTTGTTCCGAGAGGTATATAAAGCTTTATAATTTTATTGCACATGCAAAATATAGTATAGCTTCTTCTAACACTGTCTCAATTTTTCGTGCTTACCACAAAGGGGAATGATAGAATTTTAAATCTAATCGAGTGTGCGAATTAGTACCGGCTACTTCTTGGCTACACGACGGTGACGGTTTTATGTTATCGGTTTTCCCAGTTTCGCGTAAAATCGTAGCCAGCGGGGTCGGTTGATGATCCAATAACGCGGGAGTCGGCACGGTGGACAATTCGCTTGATCGTTGTTTCTGTTCTTCTTCCGAATAAAGGCTCAACGAGCGTGGTCGTTCCGGCTTCGGTTGGATCTCAGCCGGTGCACTTAATTTTTCACTGAAAAACCAACTATCCATGAAGATGTCGTGGAAATCTGTTTAATAATGAACATGCAGTCGACAATTTTAATTCGATGATATTTTATATATGATATACCATTTCGATCAAGAAAAGGTAGAGTAGATTATAATTAATCGAATTAACAGTAGAACTACTAAGAGAGGTAAAAATGAACAGTTTTTAATGGAGAAATGCGTCTACAAAAAATATATCAGTAGTTCTAATGTTAATACTGTAATGTAGTAAACGTATCATGCACGATCACGTATGCATATGAAAGGAAATTACTTACTTTCGAAACAAAACAAAAAGGAACGTGCTGCCGTTATGCAGAGGATTTTGGGAGATATCGAACTGGTATTTTCATGGAAGTGAAATTGCTTAATATCTGTCAACGAAAATGGAAATAAATATAATAAAGTCCATGCGGTACATTCGGTGAATATCTTTTCTCATTTTTAATCGTATGCACAAGTGCATGTGACCAGTTGAAAATTATCGATACATATCACAATGATGATAAATAAATACAATGTCCATACATTATACATATACATGCGCAGATGATTCAATAATAAATCAATAAATAAATTGTGTGTGTGTGCGTTAGAAAACGTGTCCTACAAACGAACTAATAAAATTACTTAAAATTTATAATTGTTCTTTGCAAGAGTCAATTGCTGAAAAGTCCTTTATAGCATTTTATTATTGCCTGGATTCCTATAAACACATTTATGACACTATAAAGGATTTTCATTTTATATTATAATATCAATAACGTATTCGTCATCAAGTTGTCTTAAACTGCCACTGATAACTCTACAAGTACAGATAATCGTAACGCTAAACAACGCGATGTCGTTTCTCTACAGCTAACAATGAGTGGATAAATAAATATTCAGATAACAATTCGACGTCGAGATCTGCTGACTATATAAAACCAATATTTATAACATTCCTATACTTATATGTATACAGTATTTCCGTCAGCCACTGACGTGTTAAGATGACCTCGTTTTCAAGTAAAATCTCGGGCCAGCATTCGAAAGATTAAGTAAGAGAAAGGATTATAATGTATGTTCTTGGCGCATTAAAATGTGCGCTGGCAAGAGGTAGCATATTACACGAGTAAAAATAGTGAAAGGCGTTAATACCGCATATTTACCGTGTTATTCAATTCCCTTAATATCTTCTAACGACGAAATTTCGGTGTCTTTAAGTCTTAATGAACAAAATAATCAAATACCACTTTGTAATGAGTACAATTAATTTGAGATGCTTCGTTCACATTGCACTTTCAATTATTCACATCACATAATAATTATAGTATGTAGTATAATTTAGAATAATATCATTACTCGTCCAGAGCGCGACTTATCTGGTCATTCAGGAATTATTTAAAGTTTCAACGTGACAGATAGTGTACAGGAAGGTTTTTGCACTTACAATACGTGCATAAGAGATTTATAGATATAATTAATATAAGCAGCCTTTGTAAAATCGTTCAACGATCTGGATGGCTATCTTTTGCTTTTACTCACCCAGTACGCTCAGCGGATGGACCAAGCACAGCGGTGTTATGGATTATCTAAAAAAAGCGTTAATGCATTGTTAATCTTATGAATGTTATTACGTCATGTTACGAACATGTCTCAATGTTAAAAAGATGCAATTACAGATCTACTGAATTTTAATCATAAACACTTATTATTGTTAAAGAACATCGCAGGATTATTCATATAAAAAAACATGTATTTTTTATTACTTTGAATGAAATTACAGTATAGTATTTCGCTCGAACTACTTTCTTTCTTTATTCCTCCGGTGGCCATCGTATTCTACGGTGTCGTACTTACGTTTGCCATGGAACACGGTGGCCGTGCAGCGGCATATCTGCCGAACGAAGTACGCGCAATGTTACTGGAATAGGGAACGCCGTTCAAGCTGAAAGAAGGATAAATTCTGTTGAATTCATCTTTTTACGAACTATTTAATTAACTTAGGCAATGTCGATAATTACTTAAATATAATTGAAGAACCGTTAAGTTTAACATTTGATCAAATTTACTGGTTTAGAACATTTTAGTTCTTCCACCTGACAATATATATGATCACATTATCAGTTAGCTAATGTTCTAGTTTAAATGCAGTGAATAATAAAGCATGCATACCCAGGATTACTCTTCCCGATGTTATGAACCCTGCTGGAAGCACCTATGTCAATTGAACTATTCGCGGGTAAGCTGTATCTATTCGATCTTACATCTTGGCGTTCTGCAAATTATGAAACAAGCGTTATACGATAAAAAAAATTGATATACGCGTTATCCTGCGTTAAAAGAATTGGATGAACTCGTTCGATCGACTTATTAATCGCTAATCGATCGGATTCGCATAATGGCGTATGTAATTACATAGGATAACATTGACCGCAATTTTACGCCTGTCCGGGTAAGAAAATACCGATTTAGGGCAGCCGCTGTTGAAGGACAAACTATAAGACGAACTCGACCTTCGTTTTGCCGTACCCGTACCTCGAGTTGAAACCAGATCGACAATGGACTCACGGACGATCTTTTACTTTTACAGAGAAACCTTGAAAACGAGACGCTCAACCCATTTCCAGATTGAGAATAGGTACTCCGACATCTCAACGCAACGCGGAAATTTAATAGTTCTCAATAAATACGAAAGACGTAATTTCACGAAAATTGCTAGTCGAATTATTCGAACTAGTTCCATTGTTAAAATGAATAAACATTTAAAAAGTGTAGACTTCATGTGATGAAGGGAAAGAGAGTCACATACCATCCTCGAAAAATCCTTGGAACACGACGAACTTATTGTTCTGCGGAATAATTTTCGAAAGTCCGTAGTATTTGTCTAAGAAGGCTAAGAACTTCTCCGAAGGTCTATCGATCGCCAGCTTCACCGGCCTAATATTCTCTTCCTGGAAATTAAAAAATATAACACTCTAAGTATTGTTACTTCAATACGAATAATATGATGAAAGTGAATTAGTTCTGGCATAGCAAATAGCTCAGGCGAGTTCAGTCACCTTTCCTACTACCTTCGATCGTAAAGCCCACGCACAGTAACTTCTTATCACGATCTCCTTTGGGATCCATTAAATTGACATCGTAGCCCACTAACACTACTACTTTTTTTATAATGAGTCACGGAATCAATAATCTTACAATAAATGTAGAAGTACTTTCTTTCAGTTTTATTTTGTTTCATTTTATTTATATCGAACATACGTTAAATAATTTGCACATTTTTTTAATTTTAAAAACATAAATGTTTGAAACAAGAATGGGTACGAAACTTCACGGTACGCACATATAACGTACAACAAAGGACAGTTAGACGTACAGTTAGGCTGAAAATGGTGATTAGAGAGTTTGCACGCAAGCCACGATTTCGTTTTGCAAGAAATCAAAGAAAGTGAGTATCGATCGGCAAGCGTTGAAAGAGGCGTAACTCAAAAGGAAGAGCCAGCTACTTAATTTTCTTTAAAAGACTCAATAATCCGAGCGCTGTTTCAAATAGCAAAATAAAATAACTTAATTGGATAAATTGATGGGATTAAGTGTAATAAACTTCTCAGAGTATAAAGAATGGTATTGCAATGTCAGGTTTATTGTCGACGATAAAGAAGAAAATAATGAAACTTTAGTAATCCATGTCACGCGAACAATCTGAAAGAAGCACTTTCTGCTAGACTTCCGTTCCACGTACAAAATTACTGTCCACCCACACGCACAGGATGAGGATTGTGCCCAACGGTATGTATGTGTACAAAACATAATTACTTCCTGAGTAAAAGCAGAAAGGCATCCCTACGATCTTGATCTAAACCACTTCCATGGAAACCTTGGGTAAGACCAGGCTAATTCTGTTTAAGTCGAACGTTGCGCAACATTCTCCTTTCGCAAATACTCGCGTTCGAATAAAGTGAAACGGAAAAGCGTGACGAGTAAAATATTGTCACAAGTAAAAATGTATTCATTTTAGTAGAATATGAATTATGAAATCAAAATCAAAACGAAGAGCTCGTATTAAAATATAATGGTTTTGCAGCCCGATTACTTAATACCCTGTACGTAAAATTTGTGGCTGAATCAACTCGGAGAAATAGGCACCTCCATTTCTATGCAATGCTTGGAAACGGAATAAATAAGATTTAATTACCATGAAACCACCGCAACAGCTGGCAATCGAAATACTCGAGCGACGTGCATGAGAGCGTTTTACGTGTCGTTAAGCAACAGCACTTGCCGTGACTCTGACAGATGAAAATCTAGCCACGTACTGCGTTTCCCAACCAGCTTTCCTCGCCTTCATTTTTGCTTTCATAATCTCAGAAAGTTGAATTTCGAACTTGATTCGTAAAAGGCAAGAATCCACGTTATACAATTTATATCCATCATTAAATCCGAACTAAATTGCCCCACGGGTGTGAATCGATATTCCAACACAAGATGCTAAGATTCGATCATCAATTACGATCTTACGTTACTTTCTCAACACGTCAACGAATGATAAATCATACATAATCATATACAAAAAGAATCGCGTGCACAGAACTTACCTTATAAATCCGAATATTTTTTATTGGGCACACGTTTGAATAGATGGATTAAACGCACACAGGTACATAACTTAGGAACAATTGAATCAACGGTAATCACTTACAGAGAGCATGTGCTCGTAGAGAATGTTTCCGAGGCCCATGCGTTGCCGTGACTCGTGCACGTAGAAATCCAGAACACACCTTGGCTTTAGTTGGTAATGAGCACCCGTCTCGTCGAACATGAAGAGATTCTTCGATCCGGTCTTTAATAAACCCACAACGCTGCCCAGTCCACTAGAAGATTCGAAGCATCAAGTGAAACACTGAACGTTGATGATTCACGAGTGCGATGTAAGTAACGTTCACCGTAATGCGAACATCGCATCATTAAACTCAAATGCAACGGCAGGAAGCTTGGGATACATGCTACAGCATCTACTCATAGATCAATGCCACGAGAAACTTCGTTGCACCGCTAATTGCAAGATACAAATTAGTAATCTTCAACCACGGCAGATGTAATTTCTGCAGAATGTATTTGACTTAAATAATCTCAGCAAATTTCAGCTTATTATGTTAAATAGATTGTACAAGATGATAAGTCATGGTACAGCTAAAAGATGATATGAAAAATCCAATTTATGTTTTTCTTTTAATTATACCAAAGAGGAAATTATGGGATGCGCGCATCATGGCCACCCTGTATAGAAGGATTCTGCGAGGGTGAGAGAGAGCTGGATTTCTGTGGGGAAGGCGACACCAGACATATCGATCCACCGACCATTTTACTGCTGCGAAACCTCGCATCCCGGGCAATACAGCTTCCTTTCCGGCCGTCATTCTTGCCTCTGAGCTCAGGTTGCACTTTTCAACCATACCTTATTTACCCAGTCCTTTGCGCAAGCAACTAGGTCGAACAATTTCCCCGAGTACGAATACGTATCGCATTTTACAAGCATATGATTTTCGTCTGTCTTTAATCACCTCCTTTCAGTAATTTTGGTATACACGACGTTTACGGTGAGGATTAAGATGAAACGACTTACTTGTTAGCTTCGCTGTCCACTAATAAGTAAACTGTATGGTCCGTGTCTCGTAGTTTTAGGGCGCTGGTTATTGGCTTGTTGAGACCCTGGGCGCTGGCAGACGCCTCACCTATATCGTCGAGAACTTTGCTCAGCTGCCTTTGAGATTCACTAAAGGAAACAAATATTATCAATTTAAAAACGAATTTATTAACATGTTGTTTGTTTAGTTCAATCTAATTTCTTATATCTAATATCTAATTCCTTATAATAATTATGGCATTGTTTTAGGAAACAAATTTTTTTATTAAATATTAGAATTCTGCTGTATTAACTTGCAAGAAGCACATATTTTAAAACTCAATATAGGTAATCAAAATCGATGAAGACTCTTTCTCCAAGATCATGTTGTTTTATTCAACAGTGAAAGGAATGAAATTGCTCGGAATTTTGAAATTGTTCGTCTTAACAATGTCATAAATTGTAAGGTGCGGTTTACATCTTAAATAGCACGAAACAAATGCTCCACTTTCGACTCTGCTTCCTGTTCTCTTCTTTTGTCTTTTCCCACAGAATCTTTTATCCCTGTACCTGACTAAACTTAATCTATTTATCCTCATTACTTAAAGTACTATTGTAATTTGTAAATGTGCAATATAATGGCATACACGCTACAACGCTTTTTGCTCGTTTCATCATATAATTGCACCGTAGTAGGCTCCGATCTTTTTTCCTCCCGTTCACGGTGATTCGTAAATCGATTACACAATCTGATTATACTTTGACGCTTCGAAATTAGCGTCTGACTCAGCAGGGAACCTACCGCTTAACTTTAACTTATTTATTCCCTTATTACGTGAAGACGCCGCAGCGTCATATGAAAAATCAATCGAGCGTTATGCTATCACGTGTCGATTGACGTACAGGGACAATTTAAAAAGTTAAAGAGACATTTAAGACGCGATGTCGTAATTTTAACTTTACCTCATGACTATTATAAATGATATCGAACGAAATCGACATTTTACCATTTTGACGTAAATAGCTACCATAAGTTAATACGTTACGAGATCCGACTCAGCACTGGAATAAAGCCAATAAGCTACTTTGCAATGCAAATTTCGATCGATTATGCTAACAAACGTGTAATGTTGAGACAACACATTGAAGGAATAATCATTGCCGATGATGGATCACCATGTACCAGAGAATCACGTGATTTTGGGGTCAATTTGACATATGTATATACGTCAGGACGGGGACAGATAAATTCCGAAATCGAGTACCACTGAGTAAATGATCACGTTTACTTTTTTAAGGCAACGTGAAAATATGATCTGTTTGCAATTTTTCAAGCCCCTCATTAATATTTCAATTCAAACAATAAGAACGTCTCCGGATTTCAAAATTTACTGTACACTGTGTAAGTTAATACACAGAATCCATTAAGAACCCATTAGCGAATATACAATATTACGTCTCATCGCGTTGGGCATTGAAATATTCGCATTGTCGGAATGAATGAAGAAACTTCAAATGATTGTGAATAAATACTTATATTTCTAATTTATCTCCATGGTATTGAAATCAACTATCTCGAAATATGCAAAACAGCTTAGAGCAAATATTCTCGTGTTCGCCTGCTGACGGAGCGAAGCTAAAGAATCCATTACACTATTTTTTGACAAACAAAGCTAAACGACTCGAGTAATCTCGAGTCTGCGAAGATAAATGTCGAATGCTTATCGAGGATGTTAAGATACGGTCGCTCACATTAACGCTGCGGTTGACGTTTTATCGGTGTTAGTTTAATTAGTCTCTCTGTAAGTACACGCGGTTTCATCTATTAGCGTTTCATGTATATCTTACCGAGGAACCGATTGCGAGGATCGATGGAATGTGAAACCGAATAATTGATGAGACACAGAATTTTAGCAATTTTAAAATAAATGTTTCGTTCCAAAAAATAATAATCGAAGGATCTACTGGAAACACGTATGACAATACAATAAACCGTGTTGCAAAAATGATTGTTTCATGTTCTCGAAGAATTCAAGTCACGCCAACACGTGTGTCCGTTTCATTGACATTTACTTTCGCCATCGATTTGCTAATAACAGATGTAGTCCAACGTGACGGATACAGATTATTTACGGGCGTACGAGGGGGAACTCGATCGTAATCCGGGAAGTCATCGAGATGCAACTGGGAATGACTGTGCCATGTCGGGCCGGTGTCATCGACGCCAAGTGAAAGTATGTACCTACCACCGTGCACGTTCCATATTACGATACAACCTTGAAGATGACAATCGCGATAAATAACGTGTTGCCGATTTTTCTTACTACCACCTCGTTATTTGGAGCTCGAACATTTTGTACCATGGTACATTTACACGTATGCATTTATAGATTATATTCTTATATATTCCCCGTTCAGAACTTAATTCTACTTCATGTAAAATATAAGAAATGATAAATGAGTAATTGTAAAGGTACTCACTTTAATTCACGGCGATCACCTCTGAAGTTTTCCGGGATAAGGGTATGCGTGACCTTGTTGATCTTTCTAGGCAAGAGTTTATTTACGTTGAACTTGAACTCCATCTCGATGACGGGTTTCTCGCTGTCCCGGTGTCCCAGCGATTTCGACACGTGAATACGTACGTTGAACGGACGGTCCTTAACCTTTCAGCGTTCTTGTCACCTCACCCAACGTTACCACCTTCCAGCTTTTTTTCGAAACTGTCTCCTCCAGTCTCGTTCGATTATCCTGAATATGGCGGTCAATGGCACCCACCGAGAGACAACTTCACTGCACGTATCCGGGGTTCATCGGCACATTTTCATTTCCACGATATCGTTCACGTCATACGAAAACGTAAGCACATAACTCAATCATCGAATTATCTCCAATCAGGTTTCTGTCAGTTACAGCCGATGTTACAAAGACGTTCCCCTACTGTCACGTGGCTCTACGCTACGATACAACTTCTATTTTCGTTCCTTGATGTCACCCGTCTCGTTGCCCTCCTCCGTACGTAGATTCCGCTCAAAAGGAAATCCGCATGTTATGCCATCAATAACGTAATAGCGATTTACCCTCTTGACACGACGATCACGGCACTGGACTAGGCACAACCAACCATTCGAATTGACCAGACCCACATCGACGACGGATTTACTTCGCGGTTTGCGGTCGACTGATATCCATATTCGTTTCGATCTCCGAGTCGTTTTTTCACAACAGCACGCCGAAGCAGCGAGAGAAGTCAGAGGAATATGTTACCTCTGGTTAACTGACGACTAACCGGTACGACGGCGCAGCACATTGATTTTGTCGGGATATTTAGATACGGTGACTCGTTTTCGTCGAACGATCAAAAACGAAAGGTGTTCAAGGCGGTGCGATTAACATGAGAAATTTAATAATTACACGGCGTTTCACCTGACGAGGCAGCGGAACTCTCACAGTTTACTGACGAGTGGTACGTTCAATTTTTTCTTGAAAGCCGCGAGTCGCGCCGAGGTGCGCACGCACCCGGGAGCCGCCAAGCGTGACGGCCTGTTACTGCGCACGCGTTATCATTATTTTTTCCGAACAACGTGAACATTTTTGTCAAATTGGCGTAAACAGCAGAAAAGTACAACAATAATATTGAAATATCAGTAAATAATGAAATGAATTAGAATATATTTAGCTCTGCATATTTATTAATATGTGCTTAAACGTTAGTTTATCAAAGAAACTAATGAACTTACCTGTCGCCTTATCGTCTTACGTTTTGAGAAACATTAGCGATGGTCGATTAACTACTACTCGATACGATTATAAAGATTGTGTTATCAGCTCTTTAGGACGCGTGTATACAATTCTCTTTACAAACACCAGATGTCGATAATGTACTATCGACTTGGCATCGTTGAGCTCTTACTGTATGAACTTAGGAAGAAGTAAGTATTTGCGATGGAATGAAAAAAATGCGAGACGGGTGGTTCTTACAGTAAATAAACAGAGTAGCATGTAGGGTAGGTAATCTGACGAGTTCATTCCCAATAAATATTTAAAAACATAACATATTGGTACAATTTCATAAATGTTTCAATTAAGCATATTTTGATACTTCAATCGTGTGATATTAATACTTCAAATCGAACTTGTTTTTACTTAATCGTAAGTCGTGTCAAAATTTCGTTTTTTAAGGATGTATTGGCTATACAGTCAATCCCAAAAGTTTATGTACCTTAGAAAAACGCATTTCC